CTCTGACCAATCAGCAGTCGAGAGTGTTGACGTCACTAGTTCAGCCCTGGCCCTGGTCTGATAGAACCACGATTTTATGGGGCCGGAAAAAGAGGGAAAAAGTACCCGCTAGCCGGTACTAGGCTATATGGAAAGGCCACCAAAAACTGGCCTGGCCGCTTGAGGACGGTTAAGGACGCTTAAACGGGGCTACCCGCTGCAGTGGAAATGCGCCATAAGTGCACCAGATTGAAGCATGTTACTTTATATGTTCAAACATTTCTTCCCGGGGGGGCATACCCCTGGACCCCCCTAGAGGATGTGATGTCCTCACCCCAATTAAAACATGTTCATATAATACTGAATACATTTGAAGCCTTTTTGATGTATATGACCTATGTCAATACGTTTCTGTTTTTGTAGTGCATTGGTCTTTTGTAGAGATTTTTCATTTATTTTTTATATATTCTATTGTGTATTCCTTGGATACTTTTATTTGTTCTACTGAACGATTTTCTGGCAGGGGGGGGGCGCCAGCTAAAATCTCGCCTCGGGCAGCAAATTGGTTAGAACCGGCCCTGATGGTGTAGGAAACGGGCTCCGTGTTACAAGACGGGTCGGGGGTTTGGCGGTACCACTGCACACACACACACACCGCTGCAGACTCTCTGCACGAAGGAGCCATAGTGCTGCAGCTATGGAGTCAGATTTGGGTCAATATTCTAGCACGTAAAACAAGCTACTCACGAGCGGAAAATATGCTTTTACACGCGCATAAAATGACCCTCGCGCGCAGATTAAACCCCCGCGAGCGGCTCTGGTAAAGTTGTCCATAAAAACCTATTATATTCGTAAAGTGTACAGCTTATATAAATTAATTTTATATAAAACAATATATTTTTGAGTGGGCTGTATCTGTCGAAAATTGCATATATATATATATAAATATAATTGGTTGTAAAAATTGTTTTTTTATTTGCTTGATACAAAAGGACATTCTTTATAACCAATTGCTTTATTATCACGCATTTGTAATATTTGTATGCTAGAACTGTTGTATTCTTTTTGAAAATAAATAAATAAATAGCTCACTTGTCATTCATTTTTATCCTTAATTATCCATCCAACACTGAAAAGGTGGTCCTTGTGAAGAATCTCATCACTATATTCCCTCAGCTGAAAGTCATTTACAACAATAGTTTGCTGAAGATTAAGTTTGTTTTAACCAAGGTATAAGGTTTTTTTAGGTGTGATTTTATGAATGATCTATTCTGTCAACATTTGATGAATTAGAAAAATATTAATATTTTTAAATGTTAACAATTATTTTCTTAATGACATATTGTGCTAATGAAATCCTTGTAAATAAATGTCCAATGAATGTATTCTTGCATTCGATTTTTTTGAATAAAAACCATATCCACCACCTGGTACTTTCAGTAATCGTCATTGACACACAATGTGCAGATATAACACAATCAAATGTTAATTCTGGTTAAAGAAATATAACACAAAATGTGCAGAAATAACAAATGAGTGTGTTCATCTTGGTTACACATTTATGACACACAATGTGTAAAATGTGCACATTGTGTGTTAGGGGCATGTAACACATTTTGTGTGTAAAAATGATTTACACATAAATAAACACAACACGTGTTGTCCCTGAGCACACTCTGTAGGTGTGTTGAAATTCAACACATGTTGTTTCATTTTTGACACATCCCTTCTAAGAGTATACAGCAGACAGTAGCTAGCAATTTTCGACAGATACAGCCCACTCAAAAATATATTGTTTTATATAAAATTAATTTATATATATATATATGCAATTTTCGACAGATACAGCCCACTCAAAAATATATTGTTTTATATAAAATTAATTAATTAATATATATATATATATATATATATATATATATATATATATATATATATATATATATATTAGCTGTACACTTTACGAATATAATAGTTTTTTATGGACAACTTTACCATTCAATCTCGTCCAACTGATTTTGCTGCCGTCACTCCTCGGCTCTTGGTAGTTCAGGCATTTATCAAACCTGGCAACTCCGGGTTTCCTGGCAGCTGTCAATCAAAGTCCAGTGGCTCCGCCCAAAAGTGCCAGAAACTTTTCACGCGCGCGTAGACAGACTCCGCGAGGCTGATACTCCCGCGAGCGAGCAAGAGGGCTGTCTCTCTCGCGAGCGAGCGCAGAGCCGCTCGCGGGCGCAGAGCCGCTCGCGGGCGCAGAGCCGCTCGCGGGCGCAGAGCCAATCGCGGGCGCAGAGCCAATCGCGGGGATTAATCTGCGCGCGAGGGTCATTTTATGCGCGTGTAAAAGCACATTTTCCGCTCGTGAGTAGCTTGTTTTACGCGTTAGAATATTGACCCAAATCTGACTCCATAGCAGTTCCTGATCGGAGCAGAGACACACGTTCACTAAGCGGAAAAACTATATCCTGTCACAGAGATCTGCTATTTTAAATTTTAAAGTCAACAGATATCGACCCTAAATAAAGTCTATATTCAGAACGAGAGATGTTTTGACATTATGGCTTAAACAAATGACAAATGAGCGAGGGCGATGACGTCAGAGCATCGTCCTATGTGCCAGGCCCTATTTTATCAGTATGTCTGGACTGCACAGCAGTTACAATGGTCAAACTACATTGGAACAGAATTGTCCCCATTTTGTCTTTAATAGTTACTAACATTAGATATTTTAATGAGATATGGACCGCAAAACAACATTTTTCCCTGATTTTCATTTTTGAAATTAAGTCACAGAATGCAAGTAGTCGCCTTAGCTTATTTTGTTATGAGATGTGAATTACTGTTCAATTTAGTTGATGTAATAATAATTTGGTTCCTTTTACATTAAAAAAAGGTCTTATGTTTTTTTTCGGGGGAGGCCCTTTTTCCAGTTTAGAGCAATAGCCTCTCCCAATGTCTGTGCACGTCCCTGCTCAGGTGTGTCTCTCCTCTTGCAGGTGTGGTTCGCACCGGGCTGTCCCGTCACGTCAGTCTGTGGCAGAAGGTGTTCATCGAGCCCATCGCCCGGCTGCTGTTCCTGGACCCGGAGGCCGGCGCTCAGACCACGCTGCACTGCTGCCTCCAGGAGGGCATTGAACCTCTGAGCGGGCGCTACTTTGCCTGCTGCGCCGTGCAGGAATCGTGCCCGAAGGCCCGGGACGACGCCATGGCCCAGAAACGATGGGAGGTCAGCGAGAGGCTCTGTGGAATCTCTTAAAACACTTATCTTCTGCTGTAAATGGATTGTTAAGTCCAGGAGGGATCAAAGTAAAATAACTGTTCACTCTGTCTTTGTTTTCCCGCCCTTTTGGTTTTCTTCCCGCCTTTTTGTGATTATTTGCCCCGCCCTGATTCTATTTCCCCAGCTCTGTAATTTTTTTGTTATTAGTTCTGTGTGTACATACGCCTCTCTTTCCCAGAGTTTTTCTGGGCGTTGATGTTTACCGTGGTTCTACTCATCAATGTTTCATCGATGTTTCTATCTACCATGTTTCCTTTCGGCTGTTTCTTCCTCTGGACTCGCTGCCTGTTTTCCTCGTGCCATCCCCTTTTGTATCTAATTTAGTTGTGCTGTTGTAATATATTTCACACGGTAAAAAGAGTCTTTACATTTTTGGCTCATAGCAGCCATGCATTAGAACCTATTTTGTTAATCATTAATGAATTGATGTTCTTATTAATATGTTTTAATAATAAGGTTTGAAATCCTGGACTTCAAAATATTAAAATAATAACCAAGTGACAAGAAGTTTTTGCCAGAAATTGCTTGTAAAAAAACAGACTAATTCAGTTCTGAATATTAAACACAAGAGTTACAGTACAGTAAGAGATCCAACGTGTTTTAATGAATCTTAGTGCCTCAGCTTTTATCAGGAAAGTGTTAAAGTTAAAGAAATATCCCCCCTGACTGGTAGACAATTATATTATCAGATTATTTAATTATTTATTTATTGATAATGTAAAGGTGATCATGTGAGCAGGGAGCATGTGCTACAGCCAGAAACGTACATTATTAAAACAATTATGAAATCACAAAAACATCTGATCTTTTTACACCACATAGTACCTGCAGGCAGAGAGAGAAGGAAGGAGAGACTTGAATTCAATACTGAAGCGTTAACATCAGTGAACAAATTAAACAGTGAACATATCACTGGTTCAGGGAAGCTGCTTGTTCACGGCGCCATCTGGTTCGTCTTCGGTCCTTTCTTCCTTAAAACCATAACCCTGCAAAGAGAACAAATGCATCAGTTACGGTACGTCCACACTGCAGCTTTTCAAAAATCTTGAAAATCTTGGAGCTGGGCGTGTCTGAAAGCTTGGGGATTTTTTGCGAGCAACGAGACCAACAACCAATCACATGAATCTCCCGCCCCCGACATACAAAGCAAAAAACCCCGGGGATTTTATGCGAGCAATATATATATATATATATAAACTCCCCAAACAGGCGAAAACCTACCAGTTTCACCCACTGTCTCTGCCACCTCCCTCCATGCCTGGTTCCTCCGGTTTGTATCCCGTTAATAGTTCTGGTCGTAAAGAACCGGGTGATTTGCTACCGTAATTTCTCGTTTGGAATATGAGGAAATGAACTGCGGTCTGGCTCTCCCTGCTTACACGCGGTTTGATTGGCTAGCGCTTCTACTGTCAGATTTGCATAAACGGGATTTGATTGGCTGACGCTTCCAGCTCAGCTTCAAAAGTAGAACATTGCTCAACTTTTGAAACCTTGAAATCCTGGAAATCTTCGCTTCGCTCCCCCACAATGCAGTTCGGCGAAAAGCGAGGCAAAGTGACGTCATCCCCATTCAAAATCAATGGGCAGAGAAGCGGTGGAAGATTTGTCTAAAGCTGCTGTGTGGACGTACCGTCCGTTAGCCAAAACCCAAAGTCTTGCTGTAAACAACAAATGGAATATTAAGATCACTGACATCATCCTCCTGTTAAAGAGACCTCTAATCTTTATCTACAGTACTGACCTTTGAGCTTGAGCCTCACCGATCTCTTCCATATGACGTCTCCGTCACTTTCAACGGTGCATGTGTATACACCGATATCTCCATGACTGGGGTTAATCAGGGTCAGACTGAGATCTCCAGCTTGCAGGGGGTTTTTCATCATCTTTGTGCGGTCTCTGTAAGAGTCGTCTTGCTCCTCAGACTTGTCTTGGCCATTCTGATACACATGAACTGTCCAGGAATTGGATAACTCGAAACGTTTCCATTTCACCGTCGCATCTGCAGGCAGTCGAGCTCTGGTTTTGAAGGGCAGTGTGACACATTTAGCCCAATCCCCGACTTTCACCACCTCCTCGGGGACTACAAGGGAAAACAGACCCTCAATTTACAAACAGCATCATTGGTGATATCATCTGATTTCATATCATTTGAGTCCATTAAATGGCTAATGGCTATCAGTGGTTATTAATGTCCAGGGTGAGAATGGGCCATTACAGAATGTGTGGTAGTGTATGTATGCAAGTAGGAATGTCTATTTAAAATGTAACCATGATAATCAACCTAATTCTTAACGCCTAGTTTTGGTGATAGATCTTAAACTGAAACCTAACAGGATTCAAACTCTTTGGGAAGGGGAGTCGAGGTGTATTATGGGGCGGTGCGGCCATCTTTGGAGGATAGAGTCTAGCAAATGCAGCAGCAGTCAATATTTATCAGCTTTTTCTCTTTCTTGAATAAACTACATGCGAAAGATAAATGTATTTACATAGAGAAGCTCTTCGCTGAAGCAGAAGAGTATTATTAATATTATTTAATCAATGAATTAAGCGCCTATGGCTGTGGGATTGGCTGTTACAGCAAACACGATAGTTCTTACCGTCCAAGTTAAAAAAGTTGAAGTAAAACAGGTTCATGCTAACTCGTTGTAGGTCAGTCAACAGGTTGCGATCACTAGTATCCTTTAAAGATGGCCGACTTGCTGTTGATGACGTTACATTCTCTATAACATGCTAGCAGCTGCAGTCTACACTGTCTGGTATCTAAAATACTGACCATTGACTCGGAGCCGTACTACTTTCTGCGTCCAGACTGCTCTGTCCTTGTGGACGGTGCAGGTGTAGGTTCCACTGTCTCTGTAGCAGGGGTCCCTGAGGGTCAGACTGAGGTCTTTGGTTTTCAGTGGCTCTTCCTGCATCTTTGTGCGATTGCAATAAAACTCATCCTGTCTAATAAGATCGTTGTTGCCATTACAATATTTGTGGACCCTCATTGGCTCGGGGGCGCAACGACTCCACTCCACGGTGACGTCTTCAGGCAGAGGGACTATGGTTTTGTAAGGAAGTTTTACAAAGCACACTCCCTCTTTCACCACTACAGAAGAGACTGAGAGGACAACAAACCACAGCATCAGCAGCACGAACACACAAACTGTGATCTTAACAGGTCCTGTGACAACATACTACATACCTGTGATGGTTTTGTGCCAACCCAAGGCAGCTACAGCCAGAGCAAGGCAAACAGCCAGCATAAGACATAACTCAGGAGGGAATATGGGCCGTTCTGTTGGCAACATAATCAACAACATGACTTTCTCTTACTGTACACCAAACAGCAACAATATTATACGTATAAACCTCTTTTTTTGTATTCTAATAAAGTAATAAGTAGAGAAGGGGATTAGGGTTTTTTCCTTACCTGTAACCTGCAGGCGCACAATTAGCCTTAACATTTCCTTTTCATTGTTATGGACGTGGCAGGTGTAGACGCCGCTGTCAGAGAGTTGGGGTTCTTTCAGAGTGAGGCTGAAGTCTCCAGTTATCAGAGCATAAGTTGGCGTAGATGTTCGGCCGCTGTAATGCTGGTTTTGAAAACGGGGCTCCTTTTCGTCAAGATGCTGGTGGACGGTTGAGGGATTAAAACCGATGCGACTCCACACCACTGTTGTGTCCTTACTAAGAAACCAGGATGACTGGCAGGGCAGCTGGACAGACTTCACCCCCTCATACACTCCAATGGTTGAGTTATGTTGGAGAACTGGGAGGACACACAAAATGATGTCTCAAATATTGATGTCAAACCTCCTCAAACCCCCCAGGACCAAGCTCCGTACTATGGGAGACCGGGCCTTCTGCTCGGCTGCTCCCAGTCTGTGGAACGCTCTCCCCGACCACATGAGAGCACCACAGACCGTGGATGCTTTTAAAAAAGGCCTCAAAACCCATCTTTTCAATAGAGCCTTTTCCTAGACCTTTTATTTGTTACTACCCTTTTATTTATTTGTATTGCTTGTTTTTACTGCTTTTATTCATTCTATTTATTCATTCATTCTTTGTGTACTGTTTCTACATTGCTCACTGCTTGTAGCACTTCGGGATTTGAACTCAAATATGAAGTGCGTTATAAATGAAACCCATTATTATTATTATTATTATTATTATTATTATAATGTATATATTATCTAAAATAACTTCTTTGCACATCAAAAACATACAACCATTAAATGCACAAATACCTACAAATATATGCTTAGACATGTTTACCAACTTAAAAGGTTATATCTGGCGTTCAGAGCATTAGTGTAGAAGCAAACAATTAATGTAAAGGCCAACGGGCAGCATGTGTGACAGGCTGGAGGCTGTCGGAGGGGCTGGGGTGAAAACAATTAAAGAACATGAGCTGCATGTGGTAGGGCACCAAGCTTTCTAGCATGTAGGAGAGCCTGAATTATACTGCATTAATGCCACCTTAGAGAGAATTGTATCATGTTTTCCACACTAAATGTTTCCCTACAGGGCACTTCATTATGTTTTATCCACTGGAAGGGCACTTTATACCCTTTTCTCTACCAACAGGGCAGCGTAGAAGACCCTTTATTGGGTTTTCTCTCCTGGATGGGTACCCTACATGGTACTGGTTTTCTCCACTAATAGGGAATCCTCGAGGACACTTCATTATGTTTTCTTCACTATTAGGCGTTAGGAGGAGCTTTATCATGTTTTCTTTGCTGAAAGGACACCCTAAAGCATGTTATAATGTTTCCTCCACTTACCTCCAACCTGCATGTTTAATGGGGGGGGGGGGTTCTGTTCCTCACCTATGACCTGCAGTAACACTAGGTCTTGGTGGAATAATTCCTCTCCCTTTCTGTACCAGTGGCAGATGTAGACGCCACTGTCAGAGTGGTGGGGTTCTTTCAGAGTGAGGCTGAGGTCTCCAGTTTTCAGAGCATCAGCTGACATTGATGTTCGGCCGCTGTAATGCTGGTTTTGAAGATAAGATACGTGATGCTGGTGGACGGTTGAGGGATGGGAACCGTGGCGCTTCCACACCACTGTTGTGTCCTCAGGTAACCTAGATGACTTGCAGGGAAGCTGGACAGACTCCACCCCCTCATTCACAAGAACAGTTGAATATTGCTGGGAAACTTGAAGGACACACAAAAGGATGTTTAAATGATAAAAGTATATATTTTATTTGCTTGTTTGTTTACACACACAACATTTTTTATATATAATAAAGTTTATAATATATTTACAAAGACATTTATACTAAAAGAGAAACCTTTTATCCTACAAATACTCAGTGTTAGGATCTGTCTGTGTTGTAGTTTTGTATGTCTGGTTATGGGTATTTTCATCCTTGTATATTGTCTGGTCCTTCTTCCTGTGTTTTTCCTCCTGTCGTTAGTTTCCCTGGTGTGTCTAGTTGTCTGATTGTTTTCACCTGTGGCCCTTGTGTTTCTCTCCCCTGCCCGGCTGTGTCTCGTCTTGTGATTACCCCTTCCTGTATTTAGTCTTGTCTCTTCCTGTGTTCAGTGTCGGTTCGTCTTGTATAATGACTTGGTCTGCGGTGAGTGTTCTGTTCTGTCTCTGTATATTATAGCCTTGAAATAAAGGAATTATTTTTGTCACTTAAATCTGCATTTGGGTCCTGCTTCCTGCACACCGTAACACTCAGACACACTTGCATTTAACCCAACTTAAATAGGAATAATTTACAACTTGCTCCCAAAAAACGGAACATGCAGACGGTACAAAATGATGGTGGCGGTAGAACTAATCTAATTGTTTTACTTAAGTAAAAGTATAAAATAAAACTTCGTAGAAATACTCTGTGACAAGTAAAGTAAGCATTCACAATGACACTAAGTAAAGTATTAGCAAATGCATTTTACATATTCAATTGAAGTGGTCACATGAAACAGGAGAATATATTTTTGTCTGCTTCTATTTTCTATTTCTATTATTGCTTCTAGGCAGTGACGCTCACAAACAAAAACACAAACTACATTTCAATTGTAATAAATCATTACATTAGATTTGAGCATCCTTGAAATGTGTTCATTTTAAATAAAAACTTTGGTTTTAGCTGCTGATTTACGAGGCTACATGAAACTGAAGCTGGAGACATGCGAGTAGAAAGAAGAAGGTAATCATACCGTGTACGAGGGTCAAAAACCGCACTAACGCCTTCATCTTCATGACGAAATAACCAAAATCCGATTCTCTCTGTCACGTTTCTTCTTATAAACTGATCACAAATGAAGCGTTACTTTTAGTTTACTGAAAGTGGCTCGCGGTTGACTGTCGCAGGAATCGGACGAATCAGGTTAAGGAAAACAAGCAGAATTGTATAACATCTGAGCAATAAGGAAGTTGGTTCATTGACTGCAGGCAAATAGTCCAAAAATCAGACCCTATCGTTTATTCCTTGACCTCTGTGTGAAACGTCACGGGGTTAAGGAATAGTGGATAGAAGAATTCAAAAGTATTTAGGAGAAGAGACTGCGGCGCTTTGAGAATCCGACTGCAATTTCACTATCCGACGTATTTATCATTCGCCAGCGGGCGTGATTAATGTGCGTCTGCTGCTGAGGGGAAACTACCGTTTTCTATACAGCGGACTACATAGATGTATAAGAACGGCGGACGAATATAGATACTTTGCACCGCGCTCTGATGGTGTTGTTTTATGCTTTATGAACGTGGACAACAGACCGAGGTTGAGATAAAAAAGGAAAGTGAAACTTATGCTTGTCACCAGGGACGTGCACAGACATTTTGGGGGCAGGAGCTCAAGTGAGAAAAAGGGCACTTCCCATAATAATTGATAAAAAATGTTTTAAAACAAAAAGTTAAATATAGTTGCACATCTCTGACTTACTGACCAATTTATTTTTAATACCCTCACACTCACGCAATTGTTTAATACTCAACATAATTCTACAAAATAATCAGTTAACACAGAGACAATGGTCTTCTTTAGTATTCACTAAGCACAACGACAAACTAGTACAATTAATAGTTATTAAATGAGCAGCCAACAATCAAAATTAGGAAGTTACTGTTTAAGGCATGGACATTACAGGCAAAAAGATCGTTATGTCTGAATTCATCTATAGATCTAAAGCTATCTGAATTTAAACATAACATTTCCGGGGAAAATACTGACTTGACGTAAGTAACTATCTTGGGAAGTTGTGAGGTGTTTTTTGTTATCCTTTTCATCTGCCATGCCTTGGTAACTGCATGCATATGTGCGCCATCCGGCCATCCTAAACTGAACAAATATTTGCTTCTCCGAATCGAAGGGGAAAATTACAAAAGCATTGCACACAATTTAAACCAATCAATGTTGTGTAATCAACAAGGATAATCTGGTGTTTTTGAGTTGATTATGAGTAGTGCAGATATCACTGTAAAATCAATCGACGGTAAAGAGAATACTTACTTCCGGGTGTAAAATCCTCCGTTATCCAATGGGAATGGACGCTCACATTGCTCTCCGTAATACAATAAAGGGGACATGATCAAATCGGAATATAATGTTCTTTTAAAAAACGTTAACTAAAAGGGAACAATCTATTTGACAGAGCTGAAGCTCTGGCCTTCCTTAAAAACTAACTAATTTAATAAAAATCACAGTTGTATTACACACAATGCACTGTTTTTTGAGAACAAAAATTCGTAAATAATGCACCATAATACATTCTGACGAAAAATAAAAATTATTATGAATACAAATAAAATAAAAGAAGCCTCCCGTGAGTTACTACAAGCTATAAAGTAGATTTTAAAAACGTTTTATAGAATAAAAGCTCACTGCAGGACGTTGTAGAAATGCGTGTGTGCACCACGACAAAAGAGCCTCATTCACTTTACATTGGGGTTGTTTGCGTGGTGCCGACACGTAAATGTAACAAAGTTTGTGAGTCCACCACGCAATGCGGTGTTAAGGAGTCGTGGTGGAGTCACGCATTCTGGTGAGATCAGGTTGATTAAAGGGTGTTTCATGCTGTCGTTAGTGTGGACCTTCTTAATCTTTGGGGGCCCCCTTCTGGTCCGGGGCCCCAAGCAGTTGCCTGCCTTGCCTGTCCGCAAGCGGCGGCCCTGCCCTTAAGTACAGTACAGCCTGTATGCCCATGATAAATTGCCTTAGCTAAACCTTGAGCTAACTTATCCATTAGCTAGTACCCTAGCCTGGACGCACGCAGGAAGGGGGGGTGCTGAGGGGGCTGCAGCACCCCCATCTGCAAGGCTCCACTAGCATCCGTACCCCCCCGGGACCCCCAAACGCGGCGCACCTACAGTGTAAGCGCGCCACAGTTTTGCTGCGAGGCTCTACTAGCACCCCCCCCCCCCCCCCCCAGCTCCGTATACAAATCTCCAGTTTGGTTCATAGCTAGTGAAGCATATCTCATGTGAATGGGGTTGTGCTGGTTACATTTTGTCGAACATCATGACCTTAGTAGTCAAATAGCAGTGGGCGTGCTTACAGGTACAACCCACCACACCTGTGATGCCGGGTGTGTTAGTGTGAAGTTGTAGCATTGTCTTACCTCATGCTTGCATTGACTCAGGTGTGTCTCTCCTCCTGCAGGTGTGTTAGTGTGAAGTTGTAGTCTTGTCTTACCTCATGCTTGCATTGACTCAGGTGTGTCTCTCCTCTTACAGGTGTGGTTCGCACCGGGCTGTCCCGTCACTGCAGTCTGTGGCAGAAAGTGTTCATCGAGCCCATCGCCCGGCTGCTGTTCCTGGACCCGGAGGCCGGCGCTCAGACCACGCTGCACTGCTGCCTCCAGGAGGGCATCGAACCTCTGAGCGGGCGCTACTTTGCCTGCTGCGCCGTGCAGGAATCGTGCGCGAAGGCCGGGACGACGCCGTGGCCCAGAAACTGTGGGAGGTCAGCGAGAGGCTCTGTGGAATCTCTTAAAAACACTTATCTTCTGCTGTAAATGGGTTGTTAAGTCCAGGAGGGATCAAAGTAAAATAACTGTTCACTCTGTCTTTGTTTTTTTTTTGTCTTTTTGTGATTGTTTGCCCCGCCCTGTCTTTTGTTAGTTATTAGTTCTTTGTGTACATACGCCTCTCTTTCCCAGAGTTTTTCTGGGCGTTGATGTTTACCGTGGTTCTACTCATCAATGTTTCATCGATGTTTCTATCTACCATGTTTCCTTTCGGCTGTTTCTTCCTCTGGATTCGCCGCCTGCCTGTTTTCCGCCATCCCATTTTGTGTCTTCTTTAGTTGTGCTATTTATCTTTTGTTTAGTATTACTTTGCCTGCTCTCTTAGTTTCTTGTTTACCTGCGTTTACTCTGTTATTCAAGTATTTTCTGTAAGACTTAAGTCAAATTGCCTGTACCCATGTCATGATATAAATTGGTTGAAAGTTTTGCTGTGTAGCATCCTTTATTTACAGTATTCCTCCCCTCTGGGAACACATGTTGTTATTTATTGTCTGTTTATTGCACTCAGTAAATTGATCACGATCTGACTGTCATTTTCTGCTGGTTCACTTTAATATTAACTTATAAAGGGGAACTCGTGAGTCTGTAGTACAGCATGTTACCTTCAGTTTATAGGGACCTTACTGCAATTTAAGACATTTGTATCTCCTGTGGTATTCATCTATTATGCTACTGTCATATATTTCACAGCGTAAAAAGAGTCTTTACATGTTTGGCTTAGAACCTATGTTGTTAATCATTCATTAATTGATGTTCTTATTAATATGTTTTAATAATAAGGTTTGAATTTCTGGACTTAAAAATATTAAAATAATAAACAAGTGACAAGAAGGTTTTGCCAGAAATTGCTTAGTAAAAAAACAGACTAATTCAGTTCTGAATATTATACACAAGAGTTACAGTACAGTAAGGCAAGTCAAGTTTAGCACCTTTCAACACAAGGCAATTCAAGGTGCTTTACAAAAATGAAAGACATTCAGACAAAGGCATTTAAAAACAGTCATTAAAAAGAAAAGATAATAAAAGAAACATTCAAAGAAAAAATACATGAATGAAAAAGTACATGAATAAAAAGTTACAGTGCAGTTTAAGATATGAATAGTTCACACAGAAGTTCCACTTTACTGATGAACACAACGGTTCAGTTTAAATTAAAAGCAGCGACAAAAAGAAAAGTCTTCAGCCTGGATTTGAAAGTAGTCAGAGTTGCAGCGGACCTGCAGGTTTCTGGGAGTTTGTTCCAGATATTTGGAGCATAATAACTGAACGCTGCTTCTCCGTGTTTAGTTCTGACTCTGGGGACAGAAAGCTGACCAGTCCCTGAAGACCTGAGAGATCTGGATGGTTCATCATTTAGCAGGAGGTCAGAAATGTATTTTGGGCCTAAACCATTCAGTGCTTTATAAACCAGCAGCAGTATTTTGAAATCTATTCTTTGACACACAGGAAGCCAGTGTAAAGACTTCAGAACAGGAGTGATCCACTTTCTTAGTGTTAGTGAGGACTCGAGCAGCAGCGTTCTGAATCAGCTGCAGCTTCCTAATAGATTTTTTAGTGAGACCTGTGAAGACACCATTGCAGTAGTCGAGTCTACTGAAGATAAAAGCATGGACAAGTTTTTCCAAATCCTGCTGTGACATTAGACTTTTAATCCTAGATATATTCTTTAGGTGATAGTAGGCTGATTTAGTAACAGTTTTAATGTGATTGTTGAAACTCAGGTCAGAGTCAATAGGCGCGTTCACACCGCAGTACTTTTCCCACTTTAGTTCCGATACACACCAAAAAGAGCCGGAACTCAAATTAGTTCATGAGAACCTTTTCACCCCCTTTTCCGTCCCTGCTAGAGAGCAGGGACTTTCGTGGGAGAAAAAGGTTCCTATGTCTGATTGGCTGGGCGGATTGCAAACCACGGCCCGTAAAACTCCCAAAAAGTTTTGTGAAGCCGCCATTTTATTATCCTCGCATTAGCATTAGCCCAGCGCAGAAACGCAGAGAGACTAACTTATGGCAACACAAAATAAAACATGGGAGCGGTGGAAATGAGGAGGTGTCGGCGTTCTGGCGATTTACTCGGAAGATTTACTCGGAAGTCCCCGGAAGTCCCCAACTCCGGGGACTTCCGGCCGGGGACTTTGGGCAGCAGTATACGCCGTGAAGTGGTTTGCGGCCTGCCAGTAAACCCAAAGCAGAAGAAGAAGAAGTGACGTCAGCGGCTTCATTTGCCTAATCCTCCCCCAGGGACTTATTCCGGTGTGAACGCGATCTGTACTTAGTTCATGAGAACTAAAGAGTTCTCATGAACTAAGTTCTCATGAACCTTTGTGGGAAAAGTACTGCGGTGTGAATGCGCCTCATGATGACTACACCTAGATTTCTGGCTTTATCTGTTGTTTTGAACATTGTAGACTGAAGCTCAGCGCTAACTTTTATACGTTCTGCCTTGGCTCCAAAGACCATTACCTCAGTTTTATCTTTGTTTAATTGGAGAAAGTTCTGACACATCCAGTCATTGATTTGTTCAATGCACTTACTCAGTGTTTGAATTGGAGCATAGTCTCCTGGTGAAATGGTTATGTACATTTGTGTGTCATCCGCATAGCTATGGTAACTTATTTTGTTGTTTTTCATTATCTGAGCCAGTGGTAGCATGTAGATGTTAAAGAGAAGAGGCCCCAAGATGGAGCCTTGAGGAACCCCACATGTCATATTTGTCAACTCAGATTTGTATTTACCTATAGAAACAAAGTTGTTTCTGTCCTTTAAGTAGGATTCAAACCAATTTAGAACTGTTTCCGAAAGTCCCACCCAGTTTTCCAGTCGGTCTAGTAATATGCTGTGGTCAACAGTGTCAAACGCAGCACTGAGATCTAATAATACTAACACTGAAGTTCTGCCACTGTCTGTGTTTAAGTGGATGTCCTTGAAGACCATTACAAGAGCAGTCTCAGTGCTGTGGTTTGGACGAAAGCCTGACTGGAACACATCGAAACAGTTATTTAAATGAAAGAAATTACTCAACTGTTGAAAGACTACTTTTTCAATGATTTTACCTAGAAATGGCAGGTTTGATATGGGCCTGTAATTGTTCATTACTGAAGCATCTAGATTATGCTTTTTTAAGAGCGGTTTAATGACTGCAGTTTTCAGGGCCTGTGGAAAAACACCTGAGTGAAGAGATTTGTTTACTATATGAAGTAGATCTGAGGCCATGCAAGGAAAAACATTTTTGAAAAACCCTGTTGGAATAATATCAAGGCAGCAGGAGGAGGATTTCAGAAGTTGTTTAATGTCCTCTAGGTTTTTATCATTAATCTGATGGAATTGTGTCATGATGTTTGAATTGATTTTAAGTGGACACAGAGACAAAACATTTGCTGTACCTGATACAGAGGCAGTAAGAGATCCAACATTTTTTAATGAATCTTAGTGTCTCAGGTTTTATCAGGAAAGTTTAAAAAAAGATTCCCCGTGACTGGTAACAATTATATCATCAGATTATTTATTGATAATGTAAAGGTGATCATGTGAGAAGGGAGCATGTGGTACAGCCAGAAACGTACATTATTAAAACAATTATGAAATCACAAAACCATTTTGAACATTAACGTCAGATTTTTTACACCACATAGTACCTGCAGGCAGAGAGAGAAGGAAGGAGAGACTTGAATTCAATACTGAAGCGTTAACATCAGTGAACAAATTCAACAGTGAACATATCACTGGTTCAGAGAAGCTGTTTGTTCACGGCGCCATCTGGTTCGTCTTTGGTCCTTTCTTCTTTAAAACCCTATCGCTGCAAAGAGAACAAATGCATCAGTTAGCCAAAACCCAAAGTCTTGCTGTAAACAACAAATGGAATATTAAGATCACTGACATCATCCTCCTGTTAAAGAGACCTCTGATCTTTATCTACAGTACTGACCTTTGAGCTTGAGCCTCACCGATCTCTTCCATATGACATCTCCGTCCCTTTCAATGGTGCATGTGTATGCACCGATATCTCCATGACTGGGATTAATCAGGGTCAGACTGAGATCTCCAGCTTGCAGGGGGTTTTTCATCATCTTTGTGCGGCCTCTGTAAGAGTCGTCTTGCTCCTCAGACTTGTCTTGGCCATTCTGATACACATGGACTGTCCAGGAATTGGATAACTCGAAACGTTTCCATTTCACCGTTGCATCTGCAGGCAGTCGAGTTCTGGTTTTGAAGGGCAGTGTGACACATTTAGCCCAATCCCCGACCTCCACCACCTCCTGGGGGACTACAAGGGAAAACAGACACTCAATTTACAAACAGCATCATTGGTGATATCATCTGATTTCATATCATTTGAGTCCATTAAATGGATAAATGGCTAATGGCTATCAGTGGTTATTAATGTCCTAGATAAGGGTGAGAATGGGCCGTTACAGAATGTGTTATGTATGCAAGTTGGAATGAGCTCCCCATTGACATCAGGACGGCAGATAGCTTGCTCATCTTCCGGCGCAAACTGAAAACTCATCTCTTTCGACTCCACTTCGAGCGTTAGAACGATTAACGAAGCACTTTTATACCAATAAAGGACTGGATTACCTAAAGCCAGTTGAGTAGCACTTGAAATGTTTGGCTCTATGAAACCTGATATACTTATATGATTCTGTTTTCTTCAAGGTTGTGTCTTCCTGGTCGAATGCACTTATTGTAAGTCGCTTTGGACAAAAGCGTCAGCTAAATGCAATGTAATGTAATGTAATGAATGTCTATTTAAAATGTAACCATGATAATCAACCTAATTTTTTGGGTGATAGATCTTAAACTGAAACCAAACAGAATTAAAATTCTTTGGGAATGGGAGTAGAGGTGTATTATGTGGCGGTGCGGCCATTTTGGAGGATATAGTCTAGTAGGAATCGACCGATATGGCTTTTTCAAGGCCGATACCGATACCGATTATTAGTAATCAAGTAGACCGATAACCGATATTTGGAACCGATATACATTTGCAGTAAAGTCAGAAAATCTTGGTGTCAAAATGTAGAATAACACAACTTCTTTGAAATGCCTTTTTATATTTAATGAACTTTTCAACATCTTAAAACGGATTTCCTCTGAGTAAAGTAAATTAAGTAAAAATAAAATAAAAACTACTAAAACTTGTTCTGAACTTCTGATATTTGAGTCTCACTCATTTAGTAGTCCCAATTCAGCAGCACCAGATTGTGGTGCAGAAAGCAGAGTTGCTGCGAGGCTCCACTAGCAGCCATCACAGTCCCAGTCGTCCCAGCGCGTCAGTTTCTCCGCTGCGAGACGCTACCCGCCCCCCCCGGTCCCTTTGTAACTGGGAAACTGATAGAATTGGATCATAAGATCGTGTTGTTTTTGCAACTTCAGTATAGGGGATTGGGATGTTTATTGAACTTTGGCTTTCAATTTACCTTCGAAATACATGTATGGCTCTGCCGCTCACTGCTGCTGCTTGTCTGTGTCTGCGTTCTTCGCACCTGCCTGTAATCTGAGAAGGTCCCGCCTCTCTGTCTGGCTGCAGACCGGAGAATCTTCAGTGTTGATTGACACTTCAGTAATAGCCTATCAGATAGCGCTGTGGGTGGGACATTGCTTGTGAACAGTGGTGACTGCAGCCAGAGAAACGGCCGCATCAGAGCCAAAGTTGTATCTGCAATTTGATTTAAAAAAAGGCCGATACCGATAATCTGTAAAATGCGGAATATCGACCTCGATAATCAGCCAGGCCGAAAATCGGTCGACCCCTAGAGTCTAGCAAATGCAGCAGCAGTCAATATTTATCAGCTTTTTCTCGTCCTAATAAACAACATGCGAAAGATAAATGTATTTACAAAGAGAAGCTCTTCACTGAAGCAGAGGAGTATTACAGGTCAGTCAACAGGTTGCAATCAGTAGTATCCTTTAAAGATGGCCGACTTGCTGTTGATGACGTTACATTCTATATAACAGCAGCAGCAGCCTACACTCTCTGGTATCTAAAATACTGACCATTGACTCGGAGGTCTTTGGTTTTCAGTAGCTCGTTCTGCATCTTTGTGCGATCGCAATAAAACTCATCCTGTCCGACAAGATCGTTGTTACCGTTACAATATTCGTGGACCCTCATTGGCTCGAGGGCACAAGGACTCCACTCCACGGTGACGTCTTCAGGCAGAGGGGCCATGGTATTGTAAGGAAGTTTTACAAAGCACACCCCCTCTTCCACCACTACAGAAGAGACTGAGAGGACAACAAACCACAGCATCAGCAGCACGAACACACAAACTGTGATCTTAACAGGTCCTGTGACAACATACTACATACCTGTGATGGTTGTGTACCAACCCAAGGCAGCAACAGCCAGAGCAAGGCAAACAGCCAGCATAGGATATAACCAAGGAGGAAATGTGGGCCGTTCTGTTGGCAACATAATCAACAACATGACTTTCTCTTACTGTACACCAAACAGCTACAATATTATATGTAAAAACCTTTTTTTTGTATTCTAATAAAGTAATAAGAAGTTCTGATAATCCTTCCATGTCCACCTTACTCTGCCCTGTATGTACAGAGTAATGGGGTTAGGGTTTGTTCCTTACCTGTAACCTGCAGGCACACAATTACCCTTGAAATGTCCTTTTCCTTGTTATGGACGTGGCAGGTGTAGACGCCGCTGTCAGAGAGTTGGGGTTCTTTCAGAATGAGGCTGAAGTCTCCAGTTATCAGAGCATAAATTGGCGTAGATGTTCGATCACTGTAATGTTGGTTTTGAAAACGGGGCTCATTTTCGTCAAGATGCTGGTGGATGGCTGAGGGATTAAAACCGAAGCGGCTCCACACCACTTTTGTGTCCTCGGGTAACCTAAACCAGCGGTCCCCAACCTTTTTTGCGCCACGGACCGGTTTCATGTAAGACAATATTTTCGCGGACCAGCCTTCAAGTTGTTGATAAATATGAGGAAATTAAATAATACGACCTGTGTTCCTGTTTACCTGGTTATTGTGTTGCTTTCGTTCTGTCTATGGTTGTTACGTTAGCTATTTTCCATTGGGTTGAATGTTACCACAAAGGCATATAATTGCAAAAAAAACAAAACCTGTCTACGGTACCGCGGCACAGATGATTACATAACATGCAAGTAAAGTAGCGTTTTTCAAAGCATGGGTTCAGACCTTAATTGCCTCGGCTATAGTTCAATCGATTTTATTTATTTATTGCAGGCTTCATTTATATTCTGCAGTTGACAGACAATCTGCCCGTTCAAACACTGACTCAACACAGTTTGCTGTCTCAAAGTCTCTCGCACATCTGCAAAAGAAGGAATTAATAAAAGTAAATGTGTAAGCAGATCAAACCAGTTAACACAATAACCAGCTAAACTGGAACACCGGCATCAAAACAAATATAAAGTGCATAAGATATAACTCACCATTACGCTGCATTAGTGGGAGCCCTGGGCTTGTGTCTCTGCAACAATCTAGGGGTAATGGGAGACAATGACACCCGAAGTGTGTTCCTTATGTCCAGTCCACTCCGTAGAAAATCCCACTTCACAAAGGTAGGATGTTGGAAATGGAAGCAAGGTTTTCAGTGCTTTTTTTGGCGATCTCAGGATATTCTGCCTTGATTTTAATCCAGAACACCAGAAGAGTTGTGGTCTGAAACACACTTTTAAGGCCAACGTCATTTGCAATCTCCAGCAGTTGATCTTCTTCTGGCACGGACAAGCTTGATTCAGCTGGTGTGTTCACAAATGGGTCGCAGATCCATTCTTTTGCCCTTCGTGGGTCTTTTGTGGATGGGAAGTACCGCTCGAACTCTTTCAAAAGCGAAGAGAGGTGATCCTGCACTAGCTGGGAGAATGATGGCTCAGGCTCAGTCTCTTCCAAAATCCCTGCTATTGTTTGAAACATGTCAAATATCCCTCAGTTCACTCGCTGTCCCCACAATTCCTTGGCCTTGAATGCAGCTACTCTATCTGCCAACATGAAGACAGTTGTAATTTCCCCCTGAAGTGACAGATTGAGTTCATTGAGCAGGTTGAATATGTCGCACAAGTAAGCGAGATTTGCGACCCATTCCTTGTCACTGAAGTGTGCTGCCAGTGGTGACTTTTTTTCGGAAATAAATCTCTGCAGCGGCTCTCGTAACTCAAACACTCTGGTTAACGATCTCCCTTTACATAGCCATCTTACTTCTGTGTGTAAGAGAAGGCGTTTGTACTGTGCGTCCATCTCCTCACAAAGCTGCGCGAATAGACGCGAGTTAAGAGCATGTGCTTTGACATGGTAAATGACTTTAATGACATAATTCAATACGCTGTTAAGTTCAGGTGACATTTTTCGGCTAGACAGCATTTCCCTGTGAATGACACAGTGTGTAGACTCACATTCAGGTGCAACCTCCTTAACCCGAGCAGGTAAACCCCGAAAGCCGTCCAGTCATGGCAGCAGCTCCGTCCGTGCATATGCCGACACAAAAGGACCAATTAAGTTTTCCTGATATGTAATCATTCAGAGACTTGAATAGTTCTGCAGCTGTGGTGTTGGTTGGCAACATTAGTGCACATAACATATCCTCATGCACATCCTCCTGATATATATATATATATATCACACATAAACGAGTAGTATTGTCTTGTTGTCAATATCAGTAGACTCATCAACCTGGATTGCGTACCACGGTGATTTATTAATCCTCTCCAACAATTGTGTCTCAATGTCCTCTGCTATTTTCTCAATTCGCCAATTCAAGTGACGGTGCTAGCCGAAAGAGGAACCTGTGCAATCTTTTTAACTGCAGCCTCTCCAAGAAGTTCACGGCAAATGTCCTTCGTGGCTGGAAGGATCAATTCTTCACCAATAGTAAAAGGTTTCTTCGCCTTAGCAATACAGTTAGCCACTAAGTATGATGCTCTCAGATGTGGTGGCCATCAGTAATTGCTTCTGTCATTCTTGCTCACGTTTCTTTCTTTAAAAAAATCCAGGGTGCTTGGTCTCCATGTGCCGAAGCAGTTTTGAAGGCTTCATTGCCTCATTTGCTAGCCTGTTGCCACATATTATGCAGAGCGGGCTAGGAGCATGAGAATCACCTGTAGCGATAAACCCATACTTTAAGTCGGACTACTGATATTGTCTTTTAAATGCAGCTTTCTTTTTCTTTGAAGTCGTAGGCTCTTCTTCCTCTGTCTCCTCATTGGGTCTTTTCCCCTTTCCCAACAATCTCTTTAAAGAAGTTTGTGTTGCACTCATTTTTGCTAGCTTGTTTTTAGCAGGGCTTTTTGTGGGCTTAATATTTGGGGTATCGTACAGCCAATCAGCGTAATGACGTTCCAGAGTCCAGACTGCTCTCGCGCTCAGTGTTGCCAGATGGGCGGTTTTCCATGAGTTGGGCTGGTTCAGAAAAAGGTATCACTGTAATAACTCACGGCACGCGAAAAATAAAATAACTTTCAGACTAATAATCAATAAAATATTTTTGTATAATATCTTTATAAAATATTTTTGTATTCAACCTTTCTCTGCGGCCCGGTACCAAATGACCCGCGGACCCTGACCTAGACGACTGGCAGGGCAGCTGGACAGACTTCACCCCCCCTAAATGGTTGAGTTATGTTGAGGAACTGGGAGGAGACACAAAATGATGTCTCAATTATTGATGTATATATTATCTAAAATAACTTCTTTACACGCCAAAAACACAAAACTATTACATTTACAAATACCTACACATATATGCATAGACATCTTTACAAACTTAAAAGGTTATATACATGGCGTTCAGAGCATTAGTGTAGAAGCAAACAATTAATATAAAGGCCAACGGGCAGCATGTGTGACTGTCGGGGGGGCTGGGGTGAAAACAATTAAAGGACACCAGCTGCATGTGGTAGGGCACCAAGTTTTCCAGCAGTACAGCTTGAATTCGACTGCCTCAAGGCCACCTTAGAGAGAATTAGTGCGAACGGTAAAGAGACCTTCTTCAGATTTTAACATTAGTGTGTATTGCGCAGCTCGTTAATGGTCCGTCTACACGGCGGCGTGCGTTGAAGCTTCAACGCTTCTGCCCATTTACTTTGAATGGGGTGACGTCACGCTTTGCCGAACTGCATTGTGGGAGTGTTGCTTCGCTTTGCTCGCGTTGCTCGTCTCAAAAGTTGAGCAATGTTCAACTTTTGAAGCTTCGGCGGAAGCGTCAGCCAATCAAATCATATGCCAGTACAAGCTCTAGCCGCGTGCTTGTGTGTCCGGGGCGGGAGATTCATGTGATTGGTTGTTGGTCGAGTTTCAGACAAGCTCACCGGTAAGCGTCAACGCATGCCGCCGTGTGGACGCAGCGTAAGGCTTAGAGTGCGTGATTTCACAGCTAGAGTCGAGGAGAGCTTGAAATTAGCCTTACTTTTTTATTTTAAACCTGCCATAATTCCCAAACCCTACAGTCCTTGGACATCATTTTTCATGAAAAACGTAGGAAAACCTCTCCTACGTATAAAAAAATAAAAAAATATTAAGCAAAACAATTAAACAAAATGCCTCTTGAGGGCATGAAGTGACAACAACGTTCAACATGTCTCCATTAAGGCCCATCGTAAATTCAGCCTGATCTTTCGTCAGAGCAGCAACTGCACACCTTTAGTAAATTTGACAAAAACGCCACATTATTGACCCGAAAGTCCACGAAAAGCAGACTGAGACGCTTTTCAGGGTCCTGACATGCTCCACGCGTTGACATTTTACCGATAGCTGCTACGGTTTTCAACAAAAGTTAGAAATGCAAGAGGTTTATTTCTCATTCAGAACAATGGAAAGGCTCTCCTTTCACTGCACATCTCCATGGTAACCTTTGATCTCTGGGCTCACACACTCAGGTGTTTGATAACGTTGTCACCATGGTAACCTTTGATCTCTGGGCTTACACACACAGGTGTTTGATAACGTCATCACCTCAAACACAAACACACAGACTGGAGTTTAAAGACTGTCTCAGCCTATTATTTTCTCTCTGACGGCCCTTACACACGGCGGCGTGCGTTGCCGCTTGCCGGCGGGCATGTCTGAAGCTAGACCAACAACCAATCACCTGAATCACCCGCCCCGGACACACAAGCAGCGGTTTGATTGGCTTCAAAAGTAGAACATTGTGCTACGCTTTGCTCTCACAATGCAGTTCGGCGAAGCGTGACGTCACCCCATTCAAAGTGAATGGGCAGAAGCGTTGAAGCGTCAACGCACGCCGCCGTGTGTAGGGGCCGTGATGGAGACTTCATACTGACTTCAACGCGGTCCACATATTTTATACATTATTGGCGACGTTTGGTTTTAGTTCAAAAGTTTGCAGTAAAAATATTCTGCTGCATTCTGACTTTCTTTTCTCTTCTTAATACACATTCATTCACTACTACTTACATTTAATATCTAACTCCTTCAGCCTACTTTCAGCTACAGAAACCATTCAACTATTACATTATTCAGCTATTTCAGGACATTGAGGATATACATTTAGTTGTTTATACCTTTTTTAAACCTTTTCTTTTAAATATTAAGCTTCTTCACTATTTTTCCTACTCTTCCAGTTTAACATTTCACTTTCAAGTTTTCAACAAAGTCATTGCAATGCATTTGAGCTGTAACAATTTTGATTCAAATAATTTCACTTTTCTGCATTTCTCCGCTAAGTTCAGCAACACACTTACTTGGTTTTTGTAGCTAAAAGCAGCTACCATTCAACTAAGAACATATTTAGCCTTTTCTGCATTTTCAGTTAAATTCAGCAACACATGTTTACAGCATTCACACGCATTTTAAGCAGGAAATGCATTTTCTAGTTGCATCATGTTTTCCATACTACATGTTTCCCTACAGGGCACTTATTATGTTTTATCCACTAGAAAGCACAATATAATGTTTTCTCCACTTACCCCCAACCTGCATGTTTAATGGGGATGGGGGTAGGGATGTTCCTCACCTTTGACCTCCAGTAACATTGTGAATCGGGGTGATAATTCCTCTTCCTTTCTGAACCTTTGGCAGATGTAGACGCCACTGTCAGAGAGTTGGGGTTCTTTCAGAGTGAGGCTGAGGTCTCCAGTTTCCAGAGCATCAGTTGACATTGATGTCCGGCCGCTGTAATGCTGGTTTTGAAGATAATGCTCATATACCTGATGCTGATGCTGGTAGACGGTTGAGGGATGGGAATCGTATCGCTCCCACACCACTGTTGTGTCCTCAGGTAACCTAGATGACTGACAGGGCAGCTGGACAGACTCCACCCCCTCATACACGCTTACAACAGCTGAAAATTGCTGGGAAACTTGAAGGACACACAAAAGGATGTTTAAATTATAAATGTATATATTTTATTTGCTTGTTTGTTTACACACAAAAAATGTATATATAATGAAGTTTATAATAAATGTACAAATACATTTATATAAAGAGAAACCTTTTATCCTACAAATACTCAGAAACACTTGCATTTAAGAAATTACCAAAGCTAGATAAATAGATAAATGATTTAACCCAACTTAAATAAGAATAATTTACAACTTGCTCCCAAAAAAAGGAACATGCAGACGGTACCAAATGATGGTGGCGGTAGAACTAATCAGATTGTTTTAATTAAAAGTATAAAATACTCTGTTACAAGTAAAGTAAGCATTCAAAATGACACTAAGAAAAGTATTAGCAAATGCATTTTATATATTCAATTGAAGTGGTCATATGAAACAGGAGATATTTGTCTGCTTCTGCTTCTATTTTCTATTATTGTTTCTATGCAGTGAATTTCACAACAAAAACACAAACTCCATTTTAATTGTAATAAATCATTAAATTAGATTTTAGCATCCTTGAAATGTGTTCATTTTAAATCAAAACTTTGGTTTTAGCTGCTGATTTACGAGGATACATGAAACTAAAGCTGGAGACATGAGAGTAGAAAGAAGAAGGTAATCATACCGTGTACGAGGGTCAAAAACCCCACTAACGCCTTCATCTTCATGACGAAATAACCAAAATCTGATTCTCTCCGTCACTGTTCTTCTTATAAACTGATCACAAAGTAACCGTACTTTTAGTTTACTGAAAGTGGCTCGCAGTTGACTGTCGCAGGAATGTGACGAATCAGGTTAAGGAAAACAAGTTTAATTGTATAACACCTGAGCAACTATGACAGAGAAAGTAAAAAGGAGTGCCTATTGATGCTCGTCTTAACCTCTCCCCATTTCCAGTCTGCCTAGGGTTACGGTTAGGGTTGTAAACTTTCAGACTAGCAAAGAGATAATAGATAAAAATGATCTAAAAATAAATAGACAGATTGAACAGAATAACCAGCCTAACTTATCTGGGGACCCTTTGAAGGGGCTCGACCGACTAAACTCTATATAAAGTATTGAAAACGACATTACCTGGAGCAGCTACACAAGTAGCAAACTGCTCTGATCGGATGCTTCGGTATCAACAATGTATTAATGTAGCATATAATCAGATATCAGTCGCATTTTACTGTTCTATGAGTACAGCATAAAGCTGAGGATACTTCTGTACTTTTACTGCCGATACTTTTATTACAAGAAGATGAGAATACTTTTACTTACATTGATGTTCAAATGTTCCATTGTATAATGTTGAAGTTGGTTCATGGTTTTGAAGCATTTGTTGCAGTCATAAATGGCGACATCTGCTGGGCAGCTCCTTGTGTTACATTTACAAACCCAAAGAAAAAGAAAAGTCCTAAAGGTGTTTTCTGAATCCTCAAAGATTCAAAGATATCCAGATTCCCATCTTTGTTTCCAAATCAAAACAAGGACGGCAACTGGTGGGCTACCTGGACAGCAAATAAGTTTACTGTGTTTCCTTCAGGAAATCTGTCACACTGCTTAAAATATATCAAACATATTTGTTAAAAAATCAGACAAGCTTCCCAAGTAATAAAAATGATCTTAAGCATTTTCAGTTGCAACACTTAATGGATGAAGGCATTAATATTAATTTAATTATAATCCAATAATAACTGAATCAATTACTCTCACTTGTAGTATTATAATATATGTATGTAGTATTTCTAGTTTTTTTAACATATACTTCTTCCTTTTGATTCAGGAGGACTCCTGGTGGCTGCAGAGCTTCAGTGTCTTTAGTGAGTCTTTTCAGCGCTCCGAATAAAGACAGCTGATCCTCACACAGTCACACCTTCAGACAGATACTGCAGAGCTTGAATTAATGATCTGTATGTAATCATTCGGAAACAAACCGATCTAGATTGACTTTGATGTGACATGAACAGGCGGTAACTATTTGGCTTATTTACGATGACTTTAAGAGAAGTCTATGTTATTTATTGTATATTAATTTTACATATTTTGGCTTTTTTAAGATGGGAAAAATATGTATAGACTAGCTGACTCATATTCGAATGAAAGGAATTAAAGATGACATACATGGGCATTAGACCGGGGGTATTCAACTAAAATTCAACAAGGTCCAGTTAGAGAAAATCTCCCCATGCAAAGTTCCGGAACATCAAAATGTCTAAGCTGCTTTATGAATTAGTGTGATATATATTGAAGTAGCCTGTAGCTTTATCAACGTCTGCATGTAATCAACAACTGACTGCCAATCAAATAAAGAGTACAATTCAAAAACAACAACATTTATTGTCAATGAACATTGAACTATACAGATATACAGTAAATACTGTGGATATGTGTAATGTTCCTCTCGGGCTGCATTTAAAAATAAAATAGAGAAAATAAATCAAATAGCTTTTGAAAATATGTGCATCTTAAAAGTGCTTAATTTTAGATAAATAAAATAAAGTGTAGCAGCAGCTTGAGTTTCCCTTTTTCTTTGTTAACCGTTTCACATCATGACTTATCAGTTTCAGATGATTATAGAACAATATCAGTCTTTACACATCATAACAATTCTCTTTCTTTCCCTCTTATATTGCAGTCCCTCACTCACTTTTTTTTAATTCAGTGCAAAAATTGAGCTGCAGCTTGTCCTGCCAGTTAAGATCTGGGCTGAAATGGTGTCAGGGCCATTCTCATACACACATGCAGGTGCTCATTGGTTAGCCTGCCCTGGAACGATATTTATTTTTTATTTTGATCCTGGTGGACTGATCATATTGGGCTCTGAGACTGCTTATTTTTTGTGACCTCAGTTCTGACTTGAGAGGGAATGTTTGGTCAAACACTTTGTGTTTTGTCTCATAGTGGCGTTTTGGCACTTTTAATGAGCGCCACGGTCTCTGAACAAATGAGACACACTGGTTCTGTGCTCCCAGTGGGCAGGATGAACATGAACGAGTCCACTCAGGGTTCAAAGCTCTGTTCTCACTGTCCACTTTCCTCTTCTTGGAGAGCGCCATGTGTAATTATTTGTCTCTCCCTGTCTGCCGCTAACACGCCTGTTCACTCTCCTCTCCGCTTCTCTCCCTGTATCGCTAATTATTCTCTTCACTCACTTTCCTCTCCGCTTCTCTCTGCCGCGATCTCATCTCTTCTTCTGTGTTTCTCTCCCTGTATCGCTCACTCGTCTCTTTCGCCCCCTGTCGGCAGCGGTTAAAATAGAATCGCCCCGTCAAAATTGAAATCCCTTATTAATGTATTGATTATAGGTCCGGGTCCGTATAGGTCGGCATCTGGGTCCGGATCTGGGCCGCGGTCCGCCTGTTGCCGACCCCTGCACTAGACCATTATGTAGGGAGTTTAAATAAAAATAAAAAGTCTCTATATAAAACCCCCTCTAAATGTCCAGTTTAGTTCATAGCTAGTGAAGCATTTCTCATGTGAATGGGGTTGTGCTGGTTACATTTTGTCAAACATCAAAACCGCAGTATTCTTAAAATAGCTGTGGGCGTGGCCGTGGTTACAGGTACAACCCACCACACCTGTGATGAAGGGTGTGTTAGTGTGAAGTTGTAGTCTTGTCTTACCTCATGCTTGCATTGACTCAGGTGTGTCTCTCCTCCTGCAGGTGTGGTTCGCACCGGGCTGTCCCGTCACGTCAGTCTGTGGCAGAAGGTGTTCATCGAGCCCATCGCCCGGCTGCTGTTCCTGGACCCGGAGGCCGGCGCTCAGACTACGCTGCACTGCTGCCTCCAGGAGGGCATCGAACCTCTGAGCGGGCGCTACTTTACCTACTGCGCCGTGCAGGAAACGTGCCTGAAGACCCGGGACGACGCCGTGGCCAAGAAACTGTGGGAGGTCAGCGAGAGGCTCTGTGGAATCTCTTAAAACACTTATCTTCTGCTGTAAATGGATTGTTGAGTCCAGGAGGGATCAATGTAAAAAAACTGTTTACTCTGTCTTTGGTTTCCCGCCCTTTTTGTTTTCTTCTCGCCTTTTTGTGATTGTTTGCCCCGCCCTGATTGTATTTCCCCAGCTCTGTCTTTTGTTTGTTATTAGTTCTGTGTGTACATACGCGTCTCTTTCCCAGAGTTTTTCTGGGCGTTGATGTTTACCGTGGTTCTACTCATCAATGTTTCATCAAAGTTTCTATCTACCATGTTTCCTTTCGGCTGTTTCTTCCTCTGGATTCGCTGCCTGTTTTCCTCGTGCCATCCCATTTTGTGTCTACTTTAGTTGTGCTGTTTATCTTTTGTTTAGTATTACCTTGCCTGCTCTCTTAGTTTCTTGTTTACCTGTGTTTTGTCTTAGCTCTCCTGTTCGTTATTTTAAAAAAAACAAAAAAAACGTTCACTCTCTGTTATTCAAGTATTTTCTGTAAGACTTAAGTAAAATTGCCTGTAGCCATGTCATGATAGAAATTGGTTCAACGTTTTGCTAAATTGAACACGATCATCTATTATGGTACTGTAATATATTTCACAGGGTAAAAAGAGTCTTTAAATCTTTGGCTCATAGCAGCCATGCATTAGAACAGTGTTTCTCAAACTTTTTCATACCAAGGACCACTTAACCAATAAAAAAACACTCGCGGACCACCTAACTCCACAAATATCCAAAAACACATCGTTTTTTATAAATCGCCTGAAAATTGTACAAACAAGTGGCAACATGTGTGATGAAGGTGTTTATCTGGGCTATATCATGCAATCGAAAGTGAAACTTAAGCTCACTCCATTGCGGAGATATTCCCGCGAGAGTGCGGAAAACTTTAATTAATTAATTAAAAATGTGAAATTTTACCAATATACTCACGGACCACCAGTGGTCCGCGGACCACACTTTGAGAAGCACTGCATTAGAACCTATGTTGTTAATCATTCATTAATTGATGTTCTTATTAATATGTTTTAATAATAAGGTTTTAAATCCTGGACTTAAAAATATTAAAATAATAAACAAGTGAAAAGAAGTTTTTGGCAGAAATTGCTTTGTAAAAAAACAGACTAATTCAGTTCTGAATATTAAACACAAGAGTTACAGTACAGTAAGAGATCCAACGTGTTTTAATGAATCTTAGTGCCTCAGCTTTTATCAGGAAAGTGTTAACGTTAAAGAAAAAGATCCCCCGTGACTGGTAGACAATCACATTATCAGATTTTTTATTGTTAATGTAAAGGTGATCATGTGAGCAGGGAGCATGTGCTACAGCCAGAAACGTACATTATTAAAACAATTATGAAATCACAAAACCATTTTGAACATTAACGTCAGATTTTTTACACCACATAGTACCTGCAGGCAGAGAGAGAAGGAAGGAGAGACTTGAATTCAATACTGAAGCGTTAACATCAGTGAACAAATTCAACAGTGAACATATCACTGGTTCAGAGAAGCTGCTTGTTCACGGCGCCATCTGGTTCGTCTTCGGTCCTTTCTTCTTTAAAACCCTATCGCTGCAAAGAGAACAAATGCATCAGTTAGCCAAAACCCAAAGTCTTGCTGTAAACAACAAATGGGATATGTAACATCACTGACATCATCCTCCTGTTAAAGAGACCTCTGATCTTTATCTACAGTACTGACCTTTGATCTTGAGCCTCACCGATCTCTCCCATATCACGTCTCCGTCCCTTTCAATGGTGCATGTGTATGCACCGCTGTCTCCATGACTGGGGTTGATCAGGGTCAGACTGAGATCTCCAGCTTGCAGGGGTTTTTCCATCATCTTTGTGCGGTCTCTGTAAGAGTCGTGCTGCACCTCAGACTTGTCTTGGCCATTCTGATACACATGGACTGTCGAGGAATT